AAGCTTTGGTCTCTCACTCCCTCTTGGGTTCTGCAGGATGAAGGAAAGGAAGGGTAAAGATAGAGACAGGAAGGAAATAGCTTTTCATGAGCACCTACTGTGTACCAGGTGCTTCCCTGGCATGAGCTCTTGTAACCCTTACAGCAACATGAGTTTACAGCAAGAATCACCACCCCAACTTCACAGAGATGGAAACTGAGGCTCAGAGAAGTAAGGGACCTACTCAAGGCCACTCGGCACCTAGAAAGTGTGCCTAGCACATAGGAGGCATGCAAAAATATTTGTTGAATGGGTGAATGAATGAGAGGACGGGTGAAAAGCCAGGCCTCAAACCCACACCGCTGACACTGCACTACACCGCCTCTCAGGAGAGAGGGCAAATATTTCCTTGACTCAGCCACCTTCCTCCTAGCAAGGCTTAGACCCCCAGGCCGTGGGGGTCCCTTCCTGCTAGAGTATGACCCTCTCTGGTGCTTGTCATCAACAAGTGGTGTGTGGTGGACTTGCTGGGGAGAGTGTCTGCAGCCAGGCTTCATGGAGGGAGGAATGGAGCTCGAGGGACTGTAATGATTGTGAATGGAGTTGGCCCCCAGCACTCTCTGGTGGCCGTATGACCTTGGGCACGTCTCCTGACCACTCTAAGCAGCTTTTGATTCTCCCGTCCAAGAGGGTAGGCCCCCTGTTCCTATTCACAGGATCCATAAAGTGTCTCAAAGAGACAGGATAGTGCCAGCCCCAGAGAGAGGGGGCTGTGGAGGGACATCTGCCCCCAGGGCTTCTCAGTGGCATCTCCTGGCTGGCCCCTGACACTCAATCTTCCTTGGTTTCCAAGATGCCTCGTGGTCTTCCCCCTCCCTAACATCCCTGACCTCCCTTTTCTGTCCCCTTTGCAACTCATTGTCCTCTACCTGCCATCAGATGTGGCTGTTCTCCAGGCTCAGTCCGGAGTCCTCTCTTCTCACTCAGCATCTGTCCCCCTGTGACCTTGTCTGCACCCACAGCTCCAGTTACAAGGCACGAGGTTCGGTTACGAAATCCCTCACAGATTTATAACTGCAGGCTTGGCTCCTTCCGGGAGTTTGAGACCCACTGCCGCCTCCGCAACACCTCCACCTGGGAGTTTCAGAGGCGCTTTCCCTCAGCGTGTCTGCAGCTGCGTGCCTGCCTTCCCCCTGCACCTGCCCTGCTCCCCAGGTCCCTTTCTCAGACCTAAGCCTGCCCGGGCTTCACAGGCTGAGGGTCCACCTTGCCACCTCCCTTTGCCTCGGTCCTCATGGAGCCCTGGCTCCACCATCTGCTGGCTTCTCCCCATCTACTCTGTATCACTCCATCTGACCACCACCGTCTCCATCAGGACAGCTGGAACACCTCTTAGCACTCTCGCCCCCACCCAGTCCACCCTCCACCCGACAGCCAGAGTGAGCCATGCCAGATACAATCCAGGTCATGCCACACAGCTGGATAAAATCATCTTCAGCCCGGCCCTCAGGCCCTGCGTGCTTGGACCCTGCTGGGCCCTCTCCAGCCTCCCCCTGCACCAGGCCTCCTCTACAACTTCACTCTGGCCCTGCTGTTCTTTTCCTTTTAGTTTGATTAACTCGCTTTGCCCATTCCATGCTCAAAGCTGTTTCCACGACAAAAGGCTCCTCCTGCCCATTTTAGTGCCCCGAGATGTCATTTCCTTGAGGAAGTCTTCCTTGGCCCTTCGCACCAGGCCAGGCCCCTGCCACACCCCTCAGAGCTCTCCTTGGAAGGCACTGGCACGGCTGTTTGTGTGATTCCTTGAACACTGTCTGTCTGTCCTCCTCACGAGGCTGTGGGTCCTGTCTGTTTCTGGTGCCCGTTGTCTGTCTAACCCCGGCAGGAGAGTTTGTCTCATGGTAGGAGCTTAATAAATGTGTGTGGGATGAATGAGCAGAGAAAAGAGAGTGCAGAGAGTGGACAAAACAGATGCTTTCAGGAGTGTGTCTGCCAATAAACCTAAAGGCATGATTTGCCCTGGTGACCCCCAGAGGTGCTTAGTCTCTTGGCTGAATTCCTTCTGGAATCCCCAGAACCCCCTCCTTGGAAGTTTTCCCAGGAGTCTGAGGCAGGCAGGTCTCCCAGTCGTGGCCACATGACCTCGAGTGAAAACAAACCAGTCTGGCTGTTCACAGACTCAGCTGGTCAGAGCTCTGGCCCGAGGGGCCGACGCACCACCCGCCACTGCAGAAGACGCCTCCACGTCTGTCTCTGGGCTGCCTCCGCCTTCTGCAGGCCTCCTGGAGCCTCTGCTGGCTGCAGAAGGTGGGGTGCGTGCTGCCCGGAGGAGGAACATCTGTGGTGGGACCCCAAATCCATGTTTGTGTTACCATCATGTTCCAATAAAACTATCGAAGCAGATGCTGCCTCGCGGTTTTATTTTTTAACTTCCCGGTGAGGAAATGCTTCCCAAACTTCATCATACGGTGTCTTGATTTAGAAAAAGAGTCGTGATAAAATGCTGGGGTAAAGGCCAAATTAAAAATTGCCTCAAAAAGTAAAGGCATTTTCCAGAAGCGAGTTTTCTCTTAAAGGGCCACACCAGCAGGGAGGGAAGGGCTGATCAGACGGTCCTGGAGAGCCAGGTAGTTGGGAGGAGCTTGGTAAGTCTTCCTGGAGTTGTCAGATGCGGAGACACCGTTTTTTTTACGTGGGAGAAAGAGGCATCTTTAAAATGGAAAACTTGCCAATCAAACAAGCCCACAATAGAGAGTGGGTGGATGGATAAGGCACAAGCAAAAACCAGGTCAAGGGAAAATGCATGGATTTTGTGCAAAGAATGAATCCTAGAGCTACCAACAAAAGGGTTGTGAGGAGGAAGGAAGGGGGCAGGCCGGAGTTGAGGATGATGTTTGATCACCGCAAGGTCAGCCGTGAGCCGTGCTCCCCGGCATGGTAGGGAGGAGGCCAGAGGTTGTGGAATTCTGAGCTTCCAGCCCTCCGGAAGAGCCCGCTAAGACAGACCCGGACAAATTTTCACAAGAAGCAGAGAAGAGATTGTGTGTTAATCAAAACGTACAGGAACCGCTCTGCTGAAAATGAGTTTTAATATATATTTCAGGGGAGAAAAGACAAAGCTGGAAGACTTGGGACAGGTGAAGTTGGTAAATTGGGTTGGCAGATGTTGCTAAGCAGTCCTGAACTGAAGTGTTAACCCCTGAGCGACAGCCACGGGTGTGATGAATATCCGGGCTCTTTATAGGCAAGCAGCCAGGGCTGGGGCCTGGGAACTACAAGGTCCGGAATCCTGTGCCAGCAGGCTCAGATTCCACCAGTGGGAATCGGAGAAGCAAAAATCGTGATCGCTAACTAGGCAAAGGGGAATGGGGTTGCAGAGGGGGAAGGAGACCAGAGAGTCTTTGGGAAACTACCAAGACTAGGGCGTGTGAGGCCCAAACAGGCCCCATGGGCAGACGGGAGGCTTGGCGGCCACATCAGGAATTGTGTCTCCTCCCATGAGTCACGGGAAACCTTTGAAAGGTTTTCAGCAGAGGGGGCTAAAATGATGCAGTGTGTGTTATGAAAAGAGCATTCAGGCTCCGGTGGAGAAAATAGATCAGGGGGAGGATCGGGGGCAGATCGTGAGGCCCCCGCAGCAGGTGGGGGTGGACAGGAACATTCTATGAGCATCTGCTCACTCAAGCTACATCTGGGAACCCAAGGGAATCAAAGCTCATGCCCGCCTGAAAGATGGGCATGCACCTGAACGATACAAGGGAATGAGGGAAGAAACCAGCTGTGTGGAGAGCGGGGTGGCTGCGGCTGGGAGGGAGGCGCGGTGCTCGAGTGTGGGAAGAAGTGGACCCAGCAGCTGTGAGGTTCTAGAGGAAAAGGCTCCTGAGTACCCTGGTTCAGGGGGTGTTTAAACCCGGTTTAGATGCAAGGTGGGTGGCGGGGAGTTGCCTCGTAGCCAGATTGAGGGGTGGTTTGGAATCTAATCCCAACTGAGCTGGGTGGGATGGAGAATCCCATTCTACTCACAGTGACTGAGCCCCAGCAAAGCACCCGGAAGTTCACCATGCTTGGTGTGGCCCTCAAGACTACTGTCGAGGGTGAGGTCATCATCCTCATTGTCCAGATGAGGCAACCGAGCTCGGGGAGTTCAGGTGGCTCTCCCCATGTCACACAAGCAGGAAAACATTGCTGGGAACATACGTTTCCCACCGGAATTCCAAGCATCCAGTGAGAATTCAGGAGCCCCGAGCCTGCAGGGTGAATGGAAGGAGCCCCCCACCCCCACCCTGCCACTGCCCCAACTGTCAACAGACCTAGGCTCATAACTCAATGTTTTGGAGGTCTTTGCAGAAGTCAGTGCCATATCCCTGACCTCCTCATTCAAGGTCACAGAGCACAAAGTGCTTCTCAGGTCCTGAGATGCCACCGGGCGAGCCACTGCACTGACCTGGCCTGAACTTAGCCCTCACTGCCTGGGCCATTTGGGGCATTACCAGAGTTCTCATGCACCTGGTGGGCCTGGCAGGACTCCCAGGGAAATAGGGCCCCAAAGGGACACACAGTGTGGGCCACGTGGCTCCCAGATAACCCATCCGTCACTTTCCACTGACTTTTACGAGCCCCTTCCTGTACCCAGACATGATGTCAGCCCTTCTGCAGGCACCAGCTCGTCTCTTCTGCCACCAGCCATCCCAGGTAGAGATTAGCATCCCCACGAGCTGTTAACAACTCCAAAATTAACAACCCAAACAAGCAGCATAGCTGGGGCTCCAGCCAGATTCACTTGTCTCCAAAGTCCAGGTCTTTTCTTTATACCTTTATCTCGAAATTAATTGTGAAGGACATAACTGATAATAGACATACAATCTCTTTTTAAAATGGAAACATTACAAAGAAAAGTAGAGTTTATTTGACACCCCCGCCAACCATCTTTTTTCCCTAGCAATTTCTTTCCATGCAACCACTGTTATCCTAGTTTGCTGTATGGTATTTGGTTCAGCTTATTTATTTTGTTTTTTTAACAGGAAAGTTATACTGCTCCTAAGGAACCAAATGCAACAATATGTCTTCAAGTTTCAACCATGCTAGCACAAAAAGATCTTCCTCATTATTTTTAGCCGTGGGAAGGTGCTCTATGGTATTGGTATTGGTAGGTACCCCACAGTTTAGCTGTCTTCCTAGCGACAGACATTTGAGTTATTTCTATTTTTTTGGCTGTTTAAACAGTGATATGCTGATCATCTCATGCACATGTGTAAGTGCAGGTTTTTTGGTTGTGTATGTGTGTGTGTGTTTAGCATAAGGGTACCTGCAAATGTCTTTCTGGATGTGGAGTATACATGCTGCCGAACAGCCCTCCAGAGAAGCAAAGCATGTTCACACTCCCACCAGCAACACTGGGAAGAAATTGTCTCTTCACAGCCTCAACATCCCACCTGTGCCTTCTAGTCCTTCTAGTCCTCCTAGAGATGCCCTACTTCCAGGGCAGGACAGAAAAGGTAGGTAGAAGAAATACTCAGACTTCCCCCGAGGCTCACCCCAGGCTCTCCCTGAGCTCTACCAAGTCCTGCCTTCCTCCTTGGACCTCTGTGGAGGAAGCCAGTCCTGCCCGAGTCACCCAGCTATTAGAGGCTGTATCAGCTAAGAATGGCTGCAGGAGTGCTGCGTAACAAACATCCACAATATCTCTCGGCATGTGATTTAGCTCGTTCATCTGTAGGCAGCTAATCTAGGATTGGCTCTGCTGGGATGGTTCAGCATTGCTTCCGGTGTCTCCCAGGCTCTCCTGGGACCATCAGGGCCACCCAGGCATGTTCTTCTCCGGGAAATGGCAGGGACATAAGAGAGCAAGCCCAGCAACACATGTGCATTTCAAGTTTCCAGGCATCTCATCTGCAAACACACCATGAGCCAGAGCAAGTCCCATGGCCAAGCCGTGGATGAAGCAAGTAAACCCACCCCTTCACTCTCCAGCGGAACTGAGGTGAGGGGTGAATGACTATCTAATCCGCCACAGAAGCCAGGCCAGATATGACCTGAAATCTGCCTGACGCCAGAGCCCTGCAGAGCAAGGGTCTCAGGATGGAGACAGGGTCCCCCAACTGTCTGGAAATGAGTTCTTTAAAGATCCTCAACTCCCCATTATTGAAGTTGTCTTCAATCTCCTACACACACCACAATGCTTTTCTACCCTGCCCCACAGTGAGATCTCTAAGACTCAAATCTGGGCCTTGGCACTGCCTGGCTATGGGCCCCTCAGTGTTCTACCTCCATCACCACTGACCCACCCCCCGTGGTCTGGCTCTGCCTAATGGTCCAGGCTCACTCACAGCCCTCCCCCTTTGCCGCACTCTCCTCTCTTGCTCAAGGACCCAACCTCTCATGCATGTTCTTACTCCATGGTCTCGTCTGCTGCAGAATTCCCTTCCCAGGCATCATTCAAGTCCCAGCTTGGGCCTCACCTCCATTTCAAAGTGATCCCTGTCTCTGTTCCCAGACTAATTCATTTTACTTCCTCCCTTGGCACATCCCTCTGTCCAAGAGACACATCACAGACATCCCAGAGGGTCTAACTCAGATGCCTTCAGGGGCCACTAAAGCTCACTGGCTTAAGACAAACAGAAGAGGGTGCCTAGCAATTTACAACCAATGTCCCTGCTGTTGATCTCCACCCCAGCCATGCTAATTGCACACATGTTTATATGACCTTGGCCAAAACGGACCAGAGCAACTCTGCTGGACGATGATGCTGCCACCCGGGACTGTGGGCCGAGTCTATTTTTCAGGAGAAGACATAAATTTGGATATTTATTAGGAATATTAGATGGGTTAATATTTGTAAAGCTCTAAGAAGGATGCTGGGGGCATCGTAAATGCTGTATACTTGTTAAAGTAAGTGGATAGATGGAAGGAAGGGAAGGAGAGAGGAAAGAAGGGAGAGGAGGAGGATAAGTTAGATAAATCTCTCTTTGAAAAGTTGGTAATTTAAAAAAATGCTATACTGAAACAACCAAGCCTTTTTATAGGCCACATTTGATCAGAAGGCTGCCAGTCTGTGGACTCAGGAACAGAACTGCCCTGTTACTCTGGGGGAGCCCCTAGAGGAGAAAGTAGGGGTGGGGTGTGGCCCCTGCCCAGAGCAGACACCACTGAGGATGCCTCCTCCATTTCCCTCTGCCCTGACAACACCGCACACACACTTCCCTCAGCCCCTCCAGGGGAACTGGAGAGAGCAGGCAGACCTCAGAGGAAAAGAAATACAGAGAGATTGGGAATTGCCTCTGTCTTGACCAGGGTTTCTCTACAGTGCTCAAGAGAGGTCCCAAGAGCCTCCTGACCTCAGAAAGGCTCTTTAGTGAGCCCGCTCCTCCCATCTTCATTGCCATTGCCCTATGTCAGGCCTCGCCTTACCTTTCTTGGACTCACCACTAGCTTCCAGTCCTCATTCCCTCCTCGTCCAATGTCTATGGACACCTCTCTGTGTCCCCAAGGGCATCTCAGAGCCAGCAGGTCATGGTATCTGACTGGCTTTGAATTCCAGCTGAGGGAACAAGTCACACTCCAGTTCCCTCATCCACCAATGGGGAAAATTGGTGGTATCTTACAGAGTTGTTGGAAGGTTTCAAAGGATGTCATGCCTGCAAAGTGCTTGGCACAATGCAACCAAAGAGCTTAGACAATGTCATGCGCTCAATAAGCATCAGCTACTGCGACTGCCAAAGCGCAAGTCATTGAGTGCTCTTCTGCTTAAACATCTTTGTAGCTTTCATTACCTTTGAATGCAGAGCTGGCTCCTGGGCTTGACATTCACAGCCCTGCCTGATCTAGCCCATGTAGCCTTCCCTGCTCCCACATGGATGCAGTCGCCAGCCATGAGATGTACATACCCGACTCTAAATGGTACATTCTTGACTTGTCAATTCTGAGCCTTCCAAATGTCAAGACCTTGCAGGCTGCCCCCTTCCAAAAGCAATGGAGGTCCTCCACCAACCTGGGAGCTTAGTCCAGGATTTGAGTGCCAAGGCAGGGCTGCTCTGGGCATTGAAATTGAACCTCTCTTAGAGACTTAGGGACAGAGCTCATTCTGAGTTGACTCCAGGATCTTCTCCCAGGGACCCAGCATTCATCTGATCTACAGTCTGAGCCAGAGAGGGAAATCTAAGTGACTGACACAGGCCCCTGAGTCTCATTCTCTCATCCATGACATGGTGGTCCTGGGGACATTTTCTTTATGCTATTTATAACCCAAACTGCCTTTTCCAAAGAAGACCCCTTAATGTTAACTAGGTCCCCTTTGTTCTGCTGAGCACCTGGATGAATCTGAAAATTCATTTATCTGCATAATAGTGGGAGAATAATTTGGAGTTCGTGAGGTACAGTCTGGGGTGGCAGGTGGTGAGGAGGAGGGATGAGAAAAGAGAAAAGAGATAAAAGTCGTTAAGATGGGGACAGAATGAAGTTAACCATGTACATTCCCAAAATGACACTTGGAAGAAAAGTGAATGCCTCATGTTCGTTTTATAGTTGTACACACTGATATGCTGTAAATCCTTCTCCACCTCTCCTCCTGCACAAAGATCTCCAGGAAAGACCATCGCACTCATGAGTATTTTGGCTTTGGTAGTGGGTGTGGAATCTGGGGAGGGAGTGGAGTTTGGCATCTGGGCCCACACAGACCACAACAGAAGGGAACCCTGGAGGAGGCAGGTTTCCAGAGCCAGAACAAAACAGGAGACTCTGGATCCTTTGGGAAGTCACTGGAATCTCGGGAAGGCTGTGGTCTTCCTAGAGGGTAGTGAATGAGTGAGATCAAACCAGCCTTGTCCAGATCTCAAGGCATCAGGAGGCCACAGATACCATTTTGTTTACACAAGTTTAATAAAATCTACCTTACAGGTTGTGGTGAGGATTAAGAGATGATGAATAAAAGCATTTGATACATAATGACAACATTATTTAAGGTGGATTTTCCTTGTGGTTGTGACTCCTTCCAATGCCAGAAACAATACCATAGAAATGTCCAGTTTGAAGATTTAGGTCCCAGGCAGCATAAAATGCTAAAGCACTGGGTGGATCTAAGCAGGTGTTCAAATGATTTTAAATCTTTTAGACTTGTATTGTGTACGAGAGGTAGAGGGGAGAGGACCCTCTTAGTTCTTGGAAACTGTCTCCTTTGAAACATGTCACTAAAGGCAGGACGGGCCCAAGCTGAGTTAGAGTGTGAGCCAGCCAGATGGCAGGGAGCCCTGAAACATCGTGGAAATAAACCACAAACATGCTAACTCCAGTTTCCAGGATCATTCTTCTCTCATAGCTGGAGAAATGTGCATTGATCCCCACACTTGGCCCTTTAGGGAATTTTCCAAAATCCCTTGTTGTGTTGACTCTTTTCTGGAGTGTTTTTTGATTGAGATATAATTCACATACCATAAAATTTGCCTTTAAAAATGTACAACTTAATGTATTTAGTATATTCACAAAATTGTGCAACCATCACTGCTAAATTTTGCAACTTTGCAAAATTTTTTCTTTTCCCTAAAAGAAACCCCACACCCATTAGCAATGACTCTCCAGCCCCCAACAACCAAGAATCTACTTTCTGTCTCTGTGAATTTGCCCACTCTGGACATTGTGCCACACACGGGCTATCAGAGCGAGCTTGGGGTCCACAGTGTCCTCTGCTGAAATGCAGGAACCCAGTAGTTCATGCCTTCGGGCTGCTTACCAGTAAAAAATAATGCCTTGTCTAGAGTTAAAACTCTTTCCTGTGCTTCCAGTAACTTATTTTTGGATACTCCCCAAACGAAACTAAGGAAGGAACAAAAACCGAAACAAAATTGGGAAATGTTTTGCTGAGTATTTTCTGAGTACTGACTCCATTGTGACCATGGAAATAAACAGGTAAGTGACTTTCTTTCTGTATATAGTTTTTGTTAACAGAAAAATAAGTTTTTCCCTGACCCAGCTAGTTTAATATTGAACAAAGATTGAAAGACATCGCTCTGAAGAAATGCCAAACCATTTACCTCCCTGGGAACCTTGACCCTAGCAAAGACTTGCCCTAGAAAAACCCTTTTCTCCCCCTTTCCATTGTTAAGAACTTTTACCCAAAACTTAGGAATAAAGCTAAAAGGTGACAGCATGTCCTTTGAGTGTCACACGGGGGGACCTATCTAGCAGGCCCGCCCAGGACTATCTGATTCTCCAGGGGAATGTCCCTGTGTTTGACTTACTGTTTACTATTGATTAGGGCCCAGACTCTGCAAAGTTACATGTTAACTTGTAGAAGATTAAGTTGTAAATAGCTTCCTTTTGGCCCATTAGAAATGCAAATGATTTCTGTACAGTGGCAGAGATTACACCAAAGGTTATAGTTTATTGTCCTGTAGGACATTACCCTGTTTGTGTCTAATTCAGCAATCCTATCCCAAGACATTCTTTCAGTGATGGTCTATGGCTGTTTCTCAGATTCTTATTTGAACTAGCTCCACCTACCATACTCCTTGTTCTCTCATTAATGAGTTAAATTATTCTGTGTTTTCTGTTGACTATCTATTTGCACGAGTCGTGTGTTTAACCTTTTCAACATTACACTTAGATGAAATCTTGGGTTCTAACCACAGCCAGTGGGCAGGGACGCCCCCTGCTGACAGGGCCATTTTATTCATTACACGTTATAAGCACAAGATTTTCAGAAGCTTCCAAAGATACTTGGGACTTGGAAAAAAAAAAAAAGGAAAAAAAGAAAGAAAAGAAAACAGCCTTTAAAGTATGAAAAGAAAAATGCAAATTTAAAATGAGTCTACGTTTGATTAAAATCTACAAAATGCAATATTTTATTTTATTTTATTTTATTTTTATTTATTTTATTTTTTTAATTTATTTATTATTATTATACTTTAAGTTGTAGGGTACATGTGCATAACGTGCAGGTTTGTTACATATGTATACTTGTGCCAACATTTTATTTTTGTTTATTTATTTATTTATTTTGAGACGGAGTCTTGCTTTGTAGCCCAGGCTAGAGTGCAGTGGCACAATCTCGGCTCACCGCAACCTCCACCTCCCTGGCTCAAGCAATTCTCCTGCCTCAGTCTCCTGAGTAGCTGGGATTACAGGTACCCACCACCATGCCTGGCTAATTTTTTTGTGTTTTTAGTAGAGATGGGCTTTCACCATGTTGGCCAGGCTGGTCTCGAACTCCTGACCTCAAGTGATCCGCCCGCCTCAGCCTCCCAGAGTGCTAGGATTACAGGCTTGAGCCACCACTCCGGGCCTAAAATGCAATATTTTAGATGTCTACAAAGTATAGCTTGTCAGCCATAGCTCAGTTCAATTCATAATTACATACAAATTATCTTTAATGTGGGATATTCTGAGTGGTTACAATGTCTGATGGGAGTTCTTCAGGACAAAGGCAGAAGGCATGTTCTGTGCATCATTTTTACTTAATGTAAAACCAGCTCCATCTGCCCTATTTCCAAGATGAGATTGATCTAGGACTATAGACACCCCACTCCACCTGCCAAGGCCACCTTGCCTCAGTTAGACCTAGAGCAAGAGACCTGCCTCCTCTCTACACAACCCACCAATCTTCACGAGGATGTGTGCTCATAGACATCCCCTTCTGCTATCCTGGAGACAGCGGCCAGCCAATCAGCTTGGCTTTGTTGAATCCTTGCTGCAGGTTGTAAGAACGTAGAGCGCACACACACACACACACACGATACTCTAGGTTTAAAGAATTGCTCTCCTGTGTTCTGGTTTTGAGCTGCCTCTCGAGCAGTTCCTTGACCAGCTGGTATCATGGGTCACTCCAAGGGGCCAGGAGGAGGTTTCACTGAGGCTTTCATATCTCCACATCCACAGGTCACAAACTATTTCTTGGAAGATCCTAATACTGATTTTGATAATGTAGAAGTATCAATTTTGGCCAGCCATGGAGAACATCTCGAGCACAAGAAACTCTCCACCGCGCCAAAATTGCTCTTAGAGCCGTGGGGTGGGGATTAAGACCCCTGTCCTCCCAGGTCTGAAACCATAACCAGGTCCAGCATATTTGTGTTTACAAAACCAAATTTTATTTTGACCCCAGATAAGAGGAGAACACAGATATGCAAACTGCAGGCCTCAGGCCCTTTGCTGAGGGGAAACCGCACTCCTCACTGGGCCTCAAAACCCTGAGATGTGAGCTCTGGCTCCAGTTCAAGTTCTAAGGGAACCTTAGGGGGTCTGTTACTTCTTTATCTGTACCTTGGTTTACCCATCTGTAAAAAGGGATCAAGGATCAAGTCAGGATTGCATATAACTCATCTAGCACCTATTTAGTATTTAGTAAATATATGTTTTCAAGGTCCCATAATTTTGAAGTAAATAAAAATTAATTTATCCTACGTGTCACCAAAATGGTAAAGGTTTCCAGGTCAAAAAAAAAAAAAAAAATTCCTGTGGTTTAATGTTTGATGAAGGTCCTTTTTATACAGACACCCTAATCTGGGGGGGTTATTCCACGTCTTAGCAACACACTAAAATGTTTCCAGACACCACCTGAAATGACTCTCCCAAGTGTTAAATTCAATTGCAATTCACAAGCTGACATAACATTACTGCCTGCAGAATATGGTGCAGAATATGGTTACATAGAAACACTGATTGGCTTTGATCCTGCAGTCCTCTTTTCATATTCTGGAATCAGGTTTTTTTTTTTTTTTTTTTTTTTTTTTTTTTTTTTTTGTAAAAAGCAAGCTAGAGGACTGGAAGGTGACAAACCAGTGAGAAGGGGGAGGAAGTCCTGGGCTGGAGATTATAAACAGCAGCAAGGGCTGTGGAGGTCTCTCTGGGGATTGTTTAAATATTTACCTCAAATTGAAATAGAATGTGACTTTTAAAAATGGAAGGGATTAAAAATCCTTTATTTGGCAAGATCAGATCCATCATTATTCTTCCAAACCAGTGGTCTCAGGAAACGAAAGTGACATGTTATTAGAAGAAAATGGAAATGTTTCATTTTTGTACATTGCTGCTGGGTGATTCCTGCTACCTTGTTATTCCCTGTATTTATTGCCATGGCAAGCAGCTGTCAATCAGGGCTGCCCCAATAGGGAAGCACCCTCTCACATTTAAACCCTTTCCTCTATCCTGAAAAGCCCTCCTGCCCAGTGTAGACTGCAAACCTCTGCATTGCTCAGCCTTCTTTACCCCTAGGGTGCAGACATCTGACAGAATATCCCAATCAAAGGCTCGAGCAACTCTGATTTAGAAATAAGCTCCTCCAAGCAGTAGAATTGCAGGATCATATGATAGTCCTATTTTTAGTTCTTTGAGGAACCTCCATACTGTTTTCCACCGTGGCTGTACTAATCTACAGTCTCACCAACAACGTGCAAGCATTCCCTTTTCTCTGCATCCTCGCCAGCACCCGTTATTTTTTGTCTTTTTGTTGAGACTGGGATGAGACGATATCTCATTGTGGTTTCTGCCAGGCAAGGTCAGAGTCCCAGCACCGGGAAGTGGTCGACTCGTGGGTTCATTAAAAAAAAAAAAAAGTACCAACAATAGTATAAGTTTGAAAAAGGAAAAGTTTATTAGAAAGGAAGAATGCTGCAAAAGCCTGCAGTGGGACACCTCAGCAAGAAGACAGCTCGCTGCAGTGAATTTTCCCTTAGGGGTATCTATGGACTTCAAGGCAGGAGCTGAGGGTTGTAAAATGAGTTTTGGCATGGCCTTCCAGAGATGCATAGAAATTTTAGTTACTTATAAACACTGAAAGATGCCTGGAACCAGATGCCGACTTTAGATACTAGGGAAGTCTAATTACTTCTGATTTTCTCCAGATCTAGGGAGCTTTGCCTCCGGAGGGCCTGACTAATGGTCACCAGGTGGTCTTTGCTCTTTCCGAAGTCCTCAGATAAGGAGTTTTTGCCTCTGGGACTGTCCAATGCTCACCAGGTGATTTCCACTTTCCTCAGTTCCGACGTGGATTTCCCTCATGATAGACATTGAGCATTTTTTCATATACCTGCTGGTTATTTGTATGTATTCTTTTGAGAAATATTTTGCCCAATTTTAGACAAATAATTTGGGCTTTTTGCTATTGAGTTTTTGTTTGAGTCTACCAACAGATAATGGATAAACAAAATGTTATATATATATATACACATTATATATATTTATATATATATATATCAGTCCATTTTCATACTGCTATGAAGACATACAGAAGACTGGGTAATTTATAAAGAAAAAGAGGTTTAGCGGACTCACAGTTCCACATGACTGGGGAGGCCTCACAATCATGGCAGAAGGCAAAGGAGGAGTGAAGTCATGTCTTACACGGTCGCAGGCAAGAGAGTGTGTGCGGGGGAACTGCCCTTTTTAAAACCATCAGATCTCATTAGACTTATTCACTATCATGAGAACAGCATGGGAAAAACCTGCCCACATGGTTCAATCACCTCCCACCGGATCCCTCCCATGACACGTGGGGATTATGGGAGCTACAGTTCAACATGAGATATGGGTGGGGACAGAGCCAAATCATATCAATACATGATGGAATATTATTCAGCCACAAAAAAGAGTGAAATTGCTGTAATATGAATGGAACTAGAGGTCATCATGTCAAGTGAAACAAGTCAGGCACAGAAATACAAAAAATCACATGTTCTCACTCATACATGGGAGCTTAAAAAGTGGATCTCATGGAGACAGAGAGTAGAACGATGGTTACTGGAGGCTGGGAAGGGGAGGAGAAGAGAGGATGAAGATAAGTTGATTAATGGGTGCAAAAATACAGTCTGATAGGAGGAAGAAGATCTAGTGTCTGATAGTAAGGTGGCTAGAGTTAACAATAATGTATTGCACATTTCAAAATAGCTAAAAGAGAAGAATTTGAATATTCCCAACATAAAAAAAGATAAATATTTGAGGTGGTAGATATCTCAGTTACCCTGATTTGATCATCACACATTGTACACATGTATCAAAATATCACATGTACCCCATAAATGTGTACAACTATTATAAATCAATTTTAAAAAGGGAGGGAGGAAGAAGCTCCTCCGTGCAGGACAGAATGTGGTGGGCTCTGGCTGTAACTGGCTCGCCCTGGTGCACAGGCTTCCAAGGGCAGCCCCAGCTCCCCGCCAGGCCAGCTCTGCTGTCAATCCATGAGCTTTCTAATAACCTCTATACTAATAAATTTCTCCCTGCTTAATACCCAGTTCCTGGCCTGTAATATATGTTCAATGAATTCTAATTAAATGAATCTGCTTGGGGAGAAGGACTGGCTCTGCTCTAAGGTATGTCTTCCTTACTAACTGGGAAGCTGGAGGCTCTGTCCATCAGACGCTTTGCCAGCAAGTGCTGAGCACAGGTCAGGCCCCAGTGAAGGTGGAAGACAGGGAAGAGGGAGCAGATGTGGGCCCCAGCCCTGCCCCTGGGCTGAGTATTATTGGATCCCCCTCTTTTCTGGTATATCCCTGGAGACACCTCATCCCTGCCTGAGAAGATTAGAACAGGGGGCCCTCCCAGGACACCCTCAGACTCAGGCAAAAGGGACTCTGCTTTGGAAGACCTGGCCCTGTCCCTCCAGTGGCCCCCACAGGGTCAAGGGTCTATGGGGCGGAAAGGATGTGGCCACCTGGAGCACACCCCAGCCCCCTTCTACATCACACTTGCAGGAATTGGGGCCCTAGATTTTCTTGGCCAAATGGTGCTAAAACCCAATTCTTGGGCCTGTGCAGGCCTGTCCCCATGTCCAACCTCTCAGGAGTGGACCACGAACATGACTAGACCCAAGGGCGGCTACTTATGGGTGGATATG